ATCTTTTTTTCTAAATTTAAAATTCCCAGTGTCCTCATTTGTGCACCTGTGTAGACACATCAACGTAAACAAACCTAGTCAGATGAAGTCCTAAGCGACGAAATGTGTCACACAGAAACTTTTTCCACTGTCATTGAAGAGTGAACGAACAGGTTAATCTACGAAACTCTGGAGTCATGATGCTGAAGGCAGCCTCAATCAGCTAAGTGACAAACTTTTCAGTCAGTTCGTTATGTGCCATGTGTGATACATGCTTAGGAAATCATGTATCTTTCAATACATGACTGATGAGGCAGTTTTTTTCCTGTCTGGATTTTGAAAAATCAATTAAAAATTGAAGGTTGTGTATCTTTTTAAAACTAATTTACAAGCTCACTTCAGCCCAGAAAGACTTTCACTCCCTGAAAGTTTTTATCATATATTCATTAATAATTTATATTGAACTGAATGCATTACTGCATCTACCTTGCTGGCTAATAGTAATCTTATGGATGGAGGATTTTAGGTACCCTCACCTCTAAAAAAAAATTGGATACTATGCTCCCATGGGTTAGTTTCAACATCCTAGCTTAGTAGGAGTTCATTAAACCAAAAAAGGCATGAAACTTACTAAATATTAAATCCAGAGGGTAGCACCAAACTTTTGGTCTATCATCTATGCATTTGTATACACACACAATGACAATCGCAGTAGAGAGAGAATCACACCCAAAGCAAATTAATTCATTTGATCCATTTAATTTGGCATTCAAAGACTAGTGTAGCAGTCATGTTTGATGTCAAATATAGCAAAGAAACCTTCAATATGAAATGTTTGCTCAATGACATTGAGCAGGCACAAAGGACTTGGACTTCAGATGACAAGTTCTACAAATTGATCAAAATGCAGTGATCTTAAAGCAGCAAGAGATTTCATGACAGCTGACAAAATGGCACCTCTTGCAAAATAGAATGAACCCTGTTTCAAATCCAGCAGAATTCAGCCAAATTGTGATCAACACCCTTCTCCTTGAATCCTGTTTCTACATTCACAAAAGAAAAAGAAAAAAAATCAAAACATTTGCTGAAAGATCAGATGATTTTATATTTACAAACTGAAAATCTTTCTTGCTTTACTGACAGTAAAAAAAGAAATTCAACAACAATTAAGAAAAAACAAAAGTTTTTCGATTAATTCCTCAAGTTCATTCAACATTCTTATAAAAGTTCTTTTAAAAATAAAACTAATTGTCTTGTCTAAAGAATCGTTTCAGTTCCAGGATCAAAAATTCCAAGTGGAAAAAAAAAGTAACTGAATGTCACTCAATTTTAGAAGAGAATATAACAGCATTAATGAATTGCTATCAGAGAATCAAGGTAACTATTTACAGAAGGAAGAATTGGCCAAAAGTCTGTGAGAATTGAGACTGCTGTATGATTCAAAATGGAATTTAGTTTTAATAATAGATGATGCCTTGGTGGTAGAAATATTGCACAGTGGAAATTCTCTGAAAAAGAAAAAAAACACAGTTTGACAATCAGAAAACACTTCATGAACATCTAACATTGGTCATATTAAGACTGCAACAACAATTTTAGGATTTTTCAATAGGGGTAACAGGATTTTATTTCACATAATACTGAAATTTATAACATATATACATATATTCTGAAAGGATACATTTCAATGCATCTTTCTATACAATTCATGTGTGGGTTATAAATTTAAAATGTTTTTATGTTAAAAGTGAAGAAATGTATGAAAATGAGATGCATCTTCATCATTTGATGCTCTTTTATTTCCAAAAAGGCAAAAACATTGTGCAGACAGCAAAAATTATATGCAACATTTATAGCAATGGTGCCATAGCTGAAAGTACTGCTCATATACTGGCTATAAGAGCATTAGATAATTGTCCATCCCACTAAATGTTTAATATCTAAACAAACCACTAAACTAATTGAGTTTCTTTTTTTCAGGCTTGCAGATGTCATTTAGCCATCTTGATATCATTTGTCATAAGAATCACTGAAAAACCCATTGAGCTATTCAGTTAGAAAGAGAACAGGTTAAAATCATTTTGTGTCAGCCCCACTGTCTTCTCAATTGTGCAATGGTGAGAGGAAAAAGATCATTCAGGCCTTCAGTAATGCAACCAACATTCATACCCTGACTTCAATCTTCAAAGTTCATTCTAGAACGGTCAAGAGAATGGTGAATAAGTTTAAAAAATAGGGAACAGTAGAGAGGAATACTGGATCAGGCGGTCAAAACAGGAAGTGGGATCATCATTTCAACTTAGAGCTAAAAAGATCAATTTGAAATGATCCAACTCAATCCATAAATGTTTGGCATATGAGATAAGAGTTTGATATATGACAGTCCACAGAGCAGTGAAAAAAGTCATGAAAATGAAATTGTATGTGAGACATGTGAGGCACTTTGTTACTCCAAGACAGAAAGTTACAGAAGGCACGGATCATCTTGAATAAGTTGGAAAATGATGCTGATGGAATAAATATATATATATATATATATATATATATATATATATATATATTGAACTTTATTTCAATCATTCATGAGCTTCTGATTCTTAGCTATGATTAATTATGTAGTAAACAAAAAGAAGAAAGTGACGAGAGGGGGGTCAGAAAGTGCAGTGTGCCGTTCGCCGTTTGCCAGCAGGCCAGTTGTTTTTCCTTCGTCATCGGTCACCTCAAGGAAATGGATTGTGAGACTCTTTCTCGGCCATTACACTGGGCAGTCGTGAAACAGACACCAACTCAGCTGCGCCTACTTCGACTTCCTCTTTGTCCGTCAGTCAATTCATACGTCCAACTCTATTGCACAAAGTCCGCCAAATGACCCGAACCTTCTGAGTCGTGCTGCTGGCATCTCACTTTTTATGCTTGTCTGATACGGCAGAAATTTGCATGTTTGCGAATATCGTCTCGTTTTGGACAAGATCGGCGTGCATAAATTGTGTCTTCGATAGCAGCCATATTTCTTTTCTGCGTTACTTTGCAGGCAAGACACTTTCGCACTCGTTTTGAACTTCGAAGTAAGTCATGTCTTTCATCACAAATTAATGATGAATATGTCATTTTCATTTATGATTGATTTCATCACGATTCTTCTGTTAAACTTGGAGAGTAATTATACATTCTTATTGCTCAAAGTAGAGTCCAATAGTGTTATAAAAACACTAGCGAATTCCAGTAAGATATCTTTAAGCATTTCTAAGATACAATGGTTCAAATCTTAATCTAAAACTTAGACAATTTTGCTGTTACATGATTTGGACAATTTTGCTGTTACAGCTGGTATAGTTTACTAGGTTCAGAAAGGTAAATTTTGATCTGGAAGATCAAGGTCATTACACAGAAAGATGCCAAGCTCTGGGAAGATGAAATCATGAAACTGCCTCAAAGATGGCAAAAGTTAGTGCAACAAAATGGGAGATATGTAGTTGAATTAATCTATGTAGAAATATCTAAAACTTGTCTTTGAAAGCCACTTAAAAATGCTATGAATATTTGTCCTGTCAAAATACAAAGTAAACATCACTTTAGTCTGATGAAATTCTAAAGGACAAAACGCAGCACACAAAAACATTTTCTAATTTTGTCATAGTTTTCTCTAAAGCAATAAAAATCAGAGATGATCATATATTTTACTTGACCTCATATTCTAGATACTGTTTTATTACAGAAACACTTGAATTAGTCAATAGCATAAGGATAAGAAAAAAAAAACAAAATTTAATTTAAACAACAAATATTTAATTTTTAACCATCTCTTTTGTTGTCAATATAACGCTTCTCAATCACATACATTGAACATTTATAGTTAAAATTTCAGATCAAAATTTAACTAATAGCTAATGTCAGGATTTATTGATCTACTATGATAAAATCTGCAATTTAAGAAAGCATGTTTATATATCATCTATGTTAGCTTTCATAATCTTCCTATGGTGCATAAGGGGAGGTATATCTGCAGTTCCAGAATCAGGTTTATCTTTTCAGGGGGTGAAGTTTCCAGCCATGCATCCAACTCTCCAACTTTACCGAGGCTTGAGGTTTCTGCTTTTTTTTTCTTTAAGAATAACTGTCTCTTGTTTGTTTTGCATATACATGATTAACAGGCTCCAATTGTCCTGCTTTTTACCATTAGCTAAGGAAAAAAGTAGATTCATGCCTTTTCCAAAGGCATTAGTTTGAAATAAATGCAAACCATCTCAGCCAGATGTAAATTCCCCGTGCCAATTCTATTTTTAGCGTTAGGCCACCCTCACCTCTACACACTGAAAAGTTCTCAGCCTGACAAACAAAAATGACCGAGAGCTATGCATTGTACATAATATTGTACATATTCACATAAATGTTCAACACATTTGACCCATTGTTTCTTTAACCCTTCAAAAAATAAAAAAATGCTACAATTTTATTCATTGAAATACTGGTTTTGGAAAATGTGTTCCACTGACTTTTCAGCACTCCCTCATTTTATTTTTATATGAGAGATACAAGAATAGATTTTTTAAAAGTCAATCATCTAATGATAAAAAAGAAAATTATTTTATACCACAAACATATATTTTTTAAACTGATCACCTTGTCACTGCACTTAATCCAGCAGTGAACATTAATCACGTAGATCAAACATTATATAATAGAAATTTCAGAACAAAATTAAATTCATATTTTAGGCTATGAACTTATTGATGCACCATTTAAAAGTACTTGACAACAATTTCATGAAAACAGAAAATAAATATAAATAATATACTCAAATGTACTTATATTTTTTGTTAAAATGGCATATCTAAAATATGCTGTTGGGTGAAAAATATGCTTCCATATTGGAAAAACAAGTTCTGTTTTCATTCCATTTTGTCTGGATAATGAGTTCAATTGTTAAAAAAGAGAGAAAAATTGGAATTGTTGACACATTCAGTACCAAGAGTTTTTGATTCCAATACTTGAACAGTCAAGTAAAAAATTATATTTTAATTACTGAATGTAATTTTTGAAATTCCCACATAATAATAATAATTCTAGAATGGGAAACAATAATATTGATAATGAATTATGTAATTGTAGAAATCCCATAAATTATCCACTGGAAAATAGATGTCTTACTGAATATATTGTTTTTCCATTGCACCATTTCATCTACTGGAAACCCAGACATTAAGAAATTTTATATTGGCAGCACAAAAATCCCTATTAAACTAAGATAGTATCAGCATATTTCTTCTTTTAACAACAATGTGTGCCATTATGGAACTTTCCTCTCAAAATATTTTTGGTATTTAGTAGAAATCATTAAAACCCCCACAGTAAAATGGAAAATATTAAAAAAAAAATGAGAATTTGTAAATCCTTAAATGACCCATGTATAAAAATGATTTAATTATAGTTAATACTGTTCTGAAGTATAGAAAAAAATTTATTAATAAAAAAAATCTTAAAATTCTTTAAAATTAAACTTTTGAGTATATCTTTTTGTATGATTCAATGTATCTTGATTGTATTCATAACTGGATGTAAGCAAACAGTGACACATCCCATAAAAAATGTTAATTCATCTAGTCCACAGTCTATACTTCTCATTTTTCTGCTTCAGAAATTACATGTTTTTTGATTGGTTAATCTAGACATACCCATAAAACTTTGAAATCTTATCTCCCACTGCTTTTTTTCAAATTGTAAATAAACTACCATATTGTTTTCTGTTTTCAAAAGTAAATCTTTTTCAAGATACAGAGAAATCCAATCATTCAGGATTAATATAAGTAAAAGTTTGTCACTTAGCTGATTGATGTTACCTTCAGCATCCTCACTCTATACTTTCATATTTGGTCATGTCCATTCGCTCTTAAGAGGTATTAGCAATTTACTGCTTATATCTTTTCAATTTTTTTCTTTTTATATATTTATCATTGGTGTAAGTTTTTTGCATTTTTTGTGTTCATATGTGCATGCAGCCATGCATGTCTGCAGATGTGTGCGCTTATATATATATATATATATATATATATATATATATATATGTGTGTGTGTGTGTGTGTCATGCCAGGGGTATTTATAAGATTTTGTCTATAATATATTTAACTTTTTTGCAGTACCAGAATTACCAGGTGACAGTGTTTTTGTAACAATGATGGAATATTAAATGATGTTTATGAAACTAGGGGGTGACAGTTCTGCTTGTGAAAGGACAGAGTTCAATAATAATACTTGGAAAAAACAAAATTGAAATAAAGATTAATAATACTAAAGATTTATCAAAATATGCCATCATTTTTTTTATATACTGGATAAACCACTAAGAAAATAAGAGGAATAAGCAGAGAAGAATCCTTGTCTTGTTTGCACTCTCTGCCACCAGCAATAGTTGCATAACAGTGGATATATTTTAATAATAAAACTTAGTAATAATCAGCATTTTCCAATAATAATAATAGAAATTCTATAAACAGGAAGGGATTTGACATCAGAGGCTACTAAATGCAGAATTTAAGTTAGCTATTCTAATAGTTATTCAAAGTGGTATTCTTAACAACAGGAACATTTTTAGATATAAAAAATAGGAAACAAACAAATTCAAATAAAAAATAAATAATTAAAATATTATTTCAATCTGACAATGATTTTTCATTGTTTTCTACATTCTCAGAATGAAAAGAAATCTGAAGGTTTATTTTATTACCAGCTTTACTTGATTTTGATTTTGATTAGTGTTTTTATCATAACACTCTAGGTTGATACCAAGTGTTATGATAAACTCTTTGAAGCAAACAGTTTGACATGAAATATATTTGTAAGTAAATCTGAAGGAATTACACATCGTCATTGTTATGCTCAACAGAATCTTCCTTTTTTTTGCGCAGGAAATTTGACAGAATTATATAATATGTCTTTGTTTATAAGTCTGAAAATGTTCTGTCTTTTGATTATTTATTGTACAAGAAACATGCTATCTGGAAGATAACATTTTACTTACTTTCACTTTTGTAGACTGTATAAGGAAGAAGCACAGAGTCAACCAGTTGACACAATCCAGGCAAATCTAACGGCAGTGTTTTGACTGATTCAATTGTAGCATTCCTAAATACACACAAAAAAACACACCATAAGGGAACACGTATTAACACAATGAGCAACTTCACATTAAAGATTTTGAAATATAAACTTCATGCCTAAAGGATAATGCACACATCTGTAGTTTGACAATATCAGTTAAATTTCTTTAAGGTTAGACAACAACCCAAGAAGATTTATACTATTTACATTGTTTGGACTGTTGTCATTTTTGTTGCTGACATTTCAGTTATTGTATGCTCCGACCTTCTTCAGGTGAATGGAATTTTGAAATGAACCCTTTATTTCATCCATGGAGGTAGATTGTTCCAATCACCTGTAGAAGGCTGGAGTGTACAATATGAATATGACAACAAAGATGAGGACAACAGCCCAAATGATGTAAATAGTGTAAATAGTTACAATACCTCATCTCAGAAATATAGGCAAAATCCAAGAAGAGTTTGAAACCAGCACTTTATACAAATCAGTAAAATAGTTGATCAGGTTTTTTTGCCAGATTTAGCAAGAGGTTAAACTGAAAATGTTCTTTTTAATTCTTCTTGCCCTTTTATCAAATGACAACAGTCTTAACAACTATCATTTTTCACCAACAGAATTATCTTAAAGCAATGACAGATCATAAATTAACATTTAATTGACCACTAACAATTCAATTATTATATTTTCATGGTAAACATGATAAAATAAAATTGATGGTGATTATTTATTCATGACCAAAATAATTCATACTATCCAGTTTTAGATAATGAAAGCTTCTTTCAGTTTTTTTTTTATTTCTATTTCTTTTTGTACAGATTGAAATTTAACAATTGAACTTAAAGAATTCATTACAAATGAAAACCACTGATTAAAAATAATTTGCAAATGAGAAAAACTAAGAAATTTAATAGTCAATTTAAAAAATATTTTGATTTGTTAAAAAAATATTTTATAAAAAGAATGAAATGAAACAGATTATGATTAACAAAATTATCAAATAAAATAACCACTGACAGGCAATAAAATTGAAAAATTTAGATAAAATATATGATAGATGGTAGTAGATATTCTGATAGCATTTTCAAAGTCTTTAGTCATCTTGTCATACAGTAACACTCATACCAGTGCACCATCTGTGTCCTCAAATTTAGAGAGTGATACATAATACAATAAGGTTCAGTATGGTGAAAGAGTCCATTTGTTCAGTTAGAGCCATTTGAGAAGGGTTGAATTGTGACATGTTGGCCAAAAAATACATTCCTCCAACCATAGACCAGGCTCTGGACAGTCACATAGTACAAATGCTCACCAAGACTAGTACAATTTAAAGCCAACAATGGTAAATTACATAGCATGGGTCGAAGCAAATGGGGCTCAGGCATATGATCAGTGGTACCACAAGTTCTGTGTTAACAGTTTCTTCTCTTGCACTTTTCATTTGTGTAGCTCTCTTCTGACTTCTTGCATTCCAGTCAACTTTGATCTTCAAAAATTTAAATCATCTTCTATCTTTTTAATTCTTGTTCTTTTATTCTTGTCTCTCTTTAATAGTATTTTTTTTCATACTCACTAACACTCAGTAACTACTTACATCTTAGTGACTTGCAATGCTTGAGATAAAATAATTAAAAAAAAAAAAAATGTAAAGAAGAAACTCATAATATGATTCCTTGCGATCAAAATATCATTTCAGGTATGTTTATGTCACTTACTGTCAAGAAAGACTATTACATCTACAGCACTAAACAGGATTAGTCTTCTTATGTTACCATCAAACAGAACAAGAAAATTAGTCAATCATATTCAGTTCATATGACTGAAAATTTACAACTCAATCCATTACACTTACTTATTGGAATTTTTTGCATCGAGATATTCCCAGAGTTCTGTGAAGACATCTTTCCGTTTTTCAGGAGCAACACCTAGGTTTTCCCATGGAATTGGCAGCATTAGGTCAGTGAAGCTGATTGATGTTGTTTCCAAATTGCATGACATTGTAATTCTGTCCACAGATGCAAAAACTGATCTGCAAAATGTAAAACAGAAAATGAGGCATTTGATATCTACTGTGATGAGACAAGCTTGCTAATCAAGAATAACTCTCAAGTTGTTTATTTATTTGTTTAATGGCATATCAACTCCTTATGGGTCATTTAATGCCAAAATTTAATTTTCTTGGGAGCTTAGAAATAATAAAAGTAGGATATTAGTTATTCTGCTTTCACAATTGAATACATGGTCGATGATACTCAGTTTTTGTGCATATATATATATATATATATATATATATATATATGTGTGTGTGACATCATTACTACAGATGGTGATATGTGTGTTTTATGTTGTAGTTTTGTTGAAGTTATATTTTGGAATACAGTTTAATTTAAGAAATTATAGGATATTGATGTCTTGAACAACTTCTTTCATGTTGACTGTTTGATCTTGTTTAACGTCATATCAACCTCTATGTTATTTAATTCCAAAATCTGAATATTTTGAAGACAATTTTATGGTTTCAGCTACAGATAGAATGTACTATTGGTAATTCTACTTTAAAAATGTATTGTTGGTAATTTTACTGTAAATATGTATTTTTATACTTTCATAGTGTTTTGTTTTTGTTTGGGACAGTCACTATTGGTCCATAGCTGGGACCATAACATAGTGAGCCTGGGCCTTGTCATGCAGTAACACTCATACTAGTGCACCATCTGTGTCCTCAACTTTAGAGAGTGATACATGATACAATAAGGTTCAGTATGGTGAAAGAGTCCATTTATTCAGTTAGGGTTGAATTGTGACATGTTGGCCAAAAAATACATTCCTCCAAGCATAGACCAGGCTCTGGACAGTCACATAGTACAAATGCTCACCAAGACTAGAACAATTTAAGGCCAACAATGGCAAATTACACAGCATAATGTGGAACCACCTCTTAATTGCAATTAAGAGGTGGTTCCATGTTCTTCAAAACCTCCAATCTCCCAATCAGAGGCCCTGCTGCTGGATGTAGTTTATTGTCATACCCAGGAATGCACTCTCAACTAATGAAACAATTCACTCTTAAATGATGAAAGTCAAGTCTCAACGGTTGTTTTATAAATAAAAAAATCTAAAAATATATATAAAAATTGATAAACATGTTTGTTTAGTTCTGAAATTATGAAAAACTTGAAAAATCATTGAAGGAAAATCTCACAAAATAATGAACTTTTTTAGAAAAGATATGAAATGCCTGTCTCATATAATAAATGCCTGTCTCATATAATAATGATATGAAATGCCTGTCTCATATAATAAATGCCTGTCTCATATAATAATGATATGAAATGCCTGTCTCATATAATAATGATATGAAATGCCTGTCTCATATAATAAATGCCTGTCTCATATAATAATGATATGAAATGCCTGTCTCATATAATATGTAGAAAGTTACTGTTTGCAACAATGGAAATTGAAAACATGTACATCTGAATTTCTGGAATGAAGAATTATCTTTATTTATATTATTAATATCCTCAGATTAATATCCTCACCTTTGTTGTTAATATTACAACATTTCAGCTTTGGTGCTCTCAGCCATCTTCAGGTGTCTGTCAATGTGAGTAACCCTCAAGGAGTCTTGAACTGAACTGATTATTTAATCTATAAGGGTAGATTGTTCTCATTCTACTATACTTGTCTAACAGTCTTGTCTTGTTCTTAAATGAAGAATGGAAAATGTGACACTGAGATCCAAAGACATATTGGGATGGTCAAGGACGCATTCCAAAAGCTAGGCAGAGTATTGCGAGACGGAAGGATTTGATCTGCTACATGATATCTGTTCTCCTTTATGGCAGTGAATGTTGGACAGTCTCTTCCAAGATGAAGAATAGACTTGAAGCAACGGAGGTATGGTTCTACAGAAGGATGCTAAGGATATCATGGACCAAGCATGTGAGCAATGATGAGGTTTTGGAGAGGATGAAAACAAGGAGGAAGCTTATACTTAACATCAGGAAGAGCAGCTGAAATTTCTGGGACATGTAATGAGAAAGGAGGGCCTGGAGAATCTGATACTCACAGGTCAAATAGAGGGAAAGAGAGAAAAAGGAAAGCAATGCATGACATACCTGGCGGGCTTAAGCAAGTGGATGACAGAACGTAGTCTGGGGGAGATGGCAGAGGGACAAAACTTATTGAAAGCAACAAGGGATAGGGAGAGCCATGTTCACCTATATCCTGAAGGGACATGGCACATAAAAAGGAGAGAGTCCTAATTACAATGGCAGCAAATTCATAAAGCAATATTTAATCCCCTTTGGCTATTGACTTGTGGAATGACAGCCGAGAGGACAGTCTTACTTAGGTAAACAGAACAAATGAAAAAGAATCCACAATGTTATCAGTCTTAACATCTCGACCTCATTCTCTTTCACACCGCCATAATGTAGCTTCCCTGTGACTTTTCTATAAATATTTTCATGGTGATTGTTCTGATAAGCTTTCATCTTTGGTACCTAGAAATTATGAATTTAAATGAGGTACTAGATTGGCAGCTAGGTCTCATCATTTTACAGATTAAATTGCTAGATGTAACTGTAAGTTCTATGCTAACAGTTTCTTTTCTTGCACTTCTTACCTGTGAAACTCTTCTGATTTCTTACTTCCCAGCCAATTTTGATCTTCAAAAATTTAAATGCAATGCCTATAATTATCTTCTATTTTCTTAATTCCTCTTCTTTTATTGTTCTCTCTCCTTAATGATTTTATTTTTCTCATATTTTTTTACACTCCTTGCATCTTAGTGTGAAAAAACAAAAAAAAAAACAAAACAAGACTAACAATAATTGAACAGTTATTAAAAAAAGAACAAGATATCCCTAGACATAGACAACACAACAAGACCATTTTACCCCCACAGATTAAATAACAGATTTATTTGGAAATTTCATGATGGTTACCTTGATTGACAGACACCTGAAGATGGCTGAAAGGCACATTGGCCAAAACATTGTGACAATAACAACAAAGATGAGGACATTAGTACAACTGTAAATGATATAAATAAGATTAAATATTATTTAATCAAAACAGTTATTGATATTTGCTAAGCTTGACAAGTTGGTCATAATTTGCTTTTTCCCTTTAATTGGAAATAACTCTAAGATACAACTATTACCTTATTTAATGACATATGAGACTCTATTATTTACATCTCAGTATTATGGAGTAGTGTTAGTCTATATAAAACATTAGCTTATCAGGTGACTTTGCGTATAAGACCCGGAAGATATTTTGTTTGAGCCAATAAATATAGATTATATAGTTTTCAATATTGAAAGATTTTTAAAAAATAATTTCCTTTTATCTTATAAAGCAAATCAAGCAGAAAGCTGCATTTTATACAAAACAGTAACAGATTTAGTCTCGTTCTTTGCTTACTTCTTCAAAATGACTTAAAAAGAAGTTTTCTTGAAATTGTGTATTTTTTTAACCAATATTTCCTACAAAAAGGATTACCTTACATCAATGTTAGTTCATGACACTGCAAAGAGACATGAGTGAAATCTAATTTTCATAAAGACAAAAGCAACTACAAGTAGTCGAGGAAATCTGGTAGAATCAATTATCTTTTATGGTCCATAAAATTCTAGCTTTTATATACTTTGAGAAATTCAGAGAAACAATTTAGAATACCAGCATTTTGATTCTGGAAGAAATGTTATTGACATTTTCTCTCCCAATACACAAGATGCTCTCAGAGTAAAAATCTATGACAAAAGAACAAAAAAGTTTCTATTTTGCAATCAGGGAGGAACTGAGTAGAGATTATTATCGATTTTTGTTTGTTTTTTAAATAAATAATCCTTGTAATCTTACTTTGTTGGGTAATCCCCTGGAAATGGCTGAAGAGAATAGAATTGCAATTGGATTGTCTTGGATTCTGAAAAATATTTAAAAAATAATAATAATAATAAAAAATTACTAGACATTGACATTAACCAATTATTTAAATGCAAAATGAATTTACACAAGTCTATATGTTGTAACCAAAGAATTTAAATTTCCTTAATTTGCATAAACAAAGGAAATATTCAGTTAGAAAAAAGTAAGAATTAAAAAAGTGATCAACATTTTGAGAAGTCAAAATCTTTTTCACTTTCATTAAACACGAAACCACTATCTACATATAACATCCATTAAAATAATAAAATTTCTTAACGGAAATTTTATGATTAACATTTATTTCTTCTTGCACTTCAAAACATACAAAGCGCATATATATATTTATATATATATATATATATATATATATATATATATATGTAAGCAAATGTAAATGGATATAGATCCGACCTGATCATTTTAAAAAATTTTCAGTTATCTGTTTTGGATAAGACTTGTTTTTATGTCCATCGTCTTTGTCAAATTGAACTGAATTGTATTTTAATGAATATTGTCCTGAAGGTTTATTAAACCGAAACATCAGACGTCGACATTTCATTCATTTTAAACAACATAATTGCATTTAAGGGTTTTTTTTTATATATATATATATGTATTTTAAATCATTTCACCCCAAGCAAGAAGATGATGCAACCAGAATGCAGAGGGTTACAAGGAGTGAAAGTGAAGGAGATGAGAAGATTGAGAATGGGGAAGATTGAGGAAAGGACAAAAAATGACAGGGTTCAAGAAGGTAGAAGATGGCAATAGATGATGCATTTATATTTTTGAAGATTGTAGTTATCAGGGAAGCAAGAAATCAAAACTGGGTTTTACAGTTGGGATGTGTGGAAAAAGAAACAGTTGGAGTAGAAGAGGCAATGTGCATGACAAATTCTGACACAACATAGTGAATCAACTTTCTTTGCAGCAGACGAAGCAACTGATTCAATATAGTCACTCCACTTCATGTCAGTGGAAAACATGAAGCCAAGAAAACATAGAGTTTCGCTCTCCTGGAGTTCTGCATTAGCCATCCAGATGATAGGCAGAAAAGGTTTTGGAGGCATTAAAGTTTACAAGCCATTACTTGCCCCAGTTAACCACTGATTGGATGTCCTTTTCAAGAGCAGTTGCCAGGTTTACTTAGTCAAATCTGACAGATTTGCTACTAATACAGGAATAAATGGTTGTGTCATATATATGTGTGTGTGTGTGTGTGTGTGTGTGTTTTGTATTATTTTGGCTTGTTTTTTTTCTTTCTCTTCTTATTGTTTATTAAGAATTTTGTCAATTACGCTTAACCATTCTCCACAATCCCCCCAAAAATGATCAAATCAAATTACCTGTTTTTGTCATATTTGGTATGTGGATCTCTGAAAAAGAATACAAAAATTTCTGTTTGAAAAAGTTAAGACAAAATATAAAAAATTAATCATGTTTTGCTTGATATTGCCATTGGTATGAAGCATTTAGCTTAGATTAGTTCAAGATTATAAGGGAAGAGTTTTGGGAAGATTGTGTTGCATTTCTTTAAGTAGGGAAGGCCATAATTCTTTGACCAATATTCAAAATCATGGCTTTTTTCTGAGTTTGAACATTGTGGAGAAATATATAACTACTTCACCCACCAAGCATTATGCATTAACATTTCCATAAATAATTACTTAACTATTTACTATGATATAAAGAAATATAACCTGTATTATGATAAGATCTATAATGACCAAGAAGAGTGCAATAGTTTGAAGCATACAGAAAATAAAAGCTTCCTTTATTTTGCTCTAGGATGTTACGGATTCTTAATTTTAACAAAACTTATTATTAATATGCACAAGTAGTTTAATGCTTATACATGCAAAAAGGGGAAAACAGCAATCTGAGCTTAAGATCCAGGCTAGTCTTGCGTTTACTTCTGCAGTACTTTCCTTGGGAAAGCAATGAATCCATTTTTTCTCTTCTCTCCAGCTATGGGTTAAATAACAGGGTAGATTGGGCTCTCTAGCTTTGGATTGCAACAATTCTAAAGAAGAGAATTCTGAATTCAAATCTGTAGAGAAGGCAACGGGAAACCAGTTCACTATTTTTCCTAAGAAATTATAGCAATCCACAGATAATAAAGAAAAGGATTCTGAAGTGAGTTATAATTGTCTACATCCTGATAAGACATGACATATTAAAAAAATTATTAGTAATCTAACTGACCAATTGTGTAATCATGGTCAGGCTATAATAATTTGGGATTCTAAATGAAAAGAAAGAAAATGTCTAAAAAAAGAAAATAATGAAGGAGAATGAAATGTTTGAATATAATAAACAAAGAACAACCTGGGATTTTCTCTAAGTTGCCATCGGTTTCAATATTTAAGGTGATTGCTCTGAGTTCATCCATTGGACATTCAGAAGTCTGAAAAAAAATATTTAAAACAATGTTTATAATATGGATATGACCACTGGGAAATCATCATCAAGTATTATTGTAAAGGACAAATAGAAAGTCTCAAAAGATTATAAGGTCTACTCAACTAACTTGCAGTCATTCAAAGGAAAATTACTTCTGCTTTTTGGTTAAAAAAAAATAGGAGTTTTTAAAACAGTCTACTCAACTCACAATACTTGTGTTTGGCCAGGAGTGAAACAAATTTGCATGTTTACCAAAATATAATACTGGCCTCATCCAGTGGATTTGGTTTGTTTTACAGCATATCATCCTCAATGGGTTATTCAATGCCAACAAGGTTTTTATTAGTGGTAATAATTTTTTACAAAAATGTATTGCTGGTAATCATTTTTTTCTTCAAAATTCATTGCTGGTAATAATTTTTTACAAAAATGTATTGCTGGAATTAAAATCTATATTTACACTTTCATAGTGCTTTGACACTAGTTTAGGGGTTAACTATTTGCCAATAGCTGGGACCCTAAAAGGTGCTACCACCCAGGTCATGGTGGACCTAGGAACACCAGTAATTAAGAGATGGTTCCACACTCCTCAAAACCTCCTAATCCTTGCTGTCAGATATAGTTTACTGTCTTACCAAGGACACTCATACAATGGAGATGCTTTATTTATTTTTTTTATTTTACAATAACAGAATGTAACATGAGATCATCTTAAATAACAGAGTAAGTCACTATTTTCTTCTGTAAAATTATTTACAAAATTTTCAATAAGCTAACTTAAATTGGAATAAAGAGTAAAAAATGAACAGAAAAAAACATGAAAAAAATAAAATACAAACAAGTGGACAATGATGATGTTTATGAAGAGAAATCAATTTGAAAGCGTTATTATTCTTCAAACTCCAAAATAAAGTTTCCAGGATTTGGTAAATTTAAGAATAATCATAGAGAAATTAAAAAAAAAAATTTTCTCATTTATTTATGTAATACCAATTATTGACAATTATAATTTCTGGAGAGTTGCTTTCATCTTTTCTTTATACATTTTGTTGTTAACATTTGAAAATTTATTTTCTTGCCTTCTATCATTATTTTTTTTGGTTCTACTTCATTATTTCTGCTAGGAAGAAATTGGTCTTTCCTCACTGCTTTTCTGCCAAGAACAAGTCTCTTCGAAGCACATTGCATACAGACATGTTGTAATATGAGGTACGTGCTAAAAAGTTTATGGTCTAACCAAAAATGGATTTCCCAAATACAATTCTGAGGTTTGGTCACTAAGTCAGGCTGAAAACTTTTTAGCATTCCCTCATAGTTGCAGAGAAATCAAAAAACGACTTTGCTTTAGCAAAAAAAGACTAGAAAGACTAGAAAAAGTGAGGTAAAAAAGAGAGTCAATATTTTGCATTCAGCAATTTATCACAATCACCTACAAGAAGCAATCTTTTGTTTTGTCATTTTGCGTTACCATAACAAACTTCAAGTAAAATTATTTATTTGCCAGTATTTCCAAAACTAGATGAATAAAGTGTAACTGGGCCTTCAGATTCAGCAATTTATCACAGTCACCAACACAAAACAAGCTTTTGTTTTATCATTTTGCGTTAACATGACAAACTTCAAGTAAAATTATTTATTTGCTAGTATTTCCAAAATTAGATGAATAAAGCATAACAGTTCATCAAAATCTAAAGAAGGAAACCATCTTTCTTAATAAAACTATTCAACAGTTTTTCTTTTGTGAATCTATTTTATACATTTATAAATCTACCATTGAATATTGCTACCACATCTGGTCTAGTGCTTCTGCTATGCAATTAGTGATTCTTAATAAAATCCAATGAAGAATCAGTAATGTTATCAGTCCTGACATTATTTCAGTTATTTTCCCCACTGTTATAAATTAGCATCCCTGTGTATTTTCTATGAATATTTTCATGACAATTGTTCTGACAACATTTCCTCTTTAGTAACTCAAGTTAAGCAAAGTACTAGATTGCTGGTAAGGTCTCATCTTTTTACAGGTGAAATTGCTAGATGTAACCATAAGTTCTATGCTAACAGTTACTTCCTCAACCTTGAACTCTCTTCCTGCCTCTTGCATGGATGGAGCATGCATTGATTGTTTCATTGATTTGTTTGTTTAATGTCATATCAACTCCTTATGGGTCATATAATGCCAAAATTTAATTTTCTTAGGAGCTTTGAACTAATAAAAATAGGATATTTGTTATTCTGCTTTCACAGTTGAACACATGGTAGATGATACTCAGCTTTTGTGCATATACATATTTGTGTGGACATCATTACTAGAGGGGGTGATATGTGTGTTTTATGTTGTAATTTTGTTGAATTTATATTTTGGTATACAGTTTGATTTAAGAAATTGTCGGATATTGTATAGATTAATGATTGTTCTTTCAAGTTGGTTTTGTTTAGTGGCATGTTAACACCTCTATGGGTTGCTTAATGCCAAAATCTAAATAATTTAAACACAATTTTATGGCTTCAACAAAATATATTTTGAACGTAATTGTATGCCTTCAACTACAGATAAAATGTATTGCTGGTTATTTTACTTTAAAATGTATTGTTGGTCACTTTTTATATAAAAATGTATTGCTGGCATTTTTACTATAAAGATATATTATCATAGTGTTTTGTTTTTGTTTAGGGGTTCACAATTTGCCAATAGCCACAACCCTAACATGTGCTACCATCCCTGGTCAGTGTGGACCTGGGAACAACAGCAATTAAGAGATGGTTTCACGCTCCTCAAAACCTCCAATCTCTTAATCAGAAGCCTTGCCTTTGGACAGAGCATGTAAACAACTTCAATGTTTTAAAGGAAATGGAAATAAAAAGGACAATTATACATAAAATCAGAAAGAGACACTTGAAATTTCTGGAACCTATAATGAGAAAAGAAGGCCTGGAAAATCTAATACTCACAGGACATACTACAAGCATTATAGACAGAGGTAAACAGTGAGTACCCTACCTAACAAGCTTGTGTAAATGAATGGCAGAACAGGGATTGAGGTGGGGGGACTGTATGAAGACAAAAACTGTTACAAGCTACAAAGAACAGGAAGTTGTGGAAAGCCATGATCTAATTCATTTATACTTACAACACTGAGTCGGTATTCAGCCAACAGAAAAGTAGAATCTTCAGCAGCAATGAGGTCAAGGTAGTGCAAAAAGGCCCCTATGGAGAGAAATAACAAAAGTTAACTCCCAAGTTTTTCAACAAAGAAAACAAAAGATATGAAATCTTCTAGTAAGAAAAATAACCCAAAAAATGGTCACTAAATTCCAATATTTACTGCATATTATTAAATTTTGAATTCCATCTCACAATGTTTTTTTTTCCCACCCTGAATTCATATGAATTCTCTGCACTACCCAACTCATGGATTGAAATAATGGCTGCCTGGAAACCAGACATGCTTTAAGGAACACTTTAATTTGCTAGGCAATGTGTCAGTTGGATAATACAGAGGTAGACTTTTGGTGTCTTAAGCCTAATCTCTGTATCAGGTGAATTTTTTTTTTTCTTAATCATATTCACTAACACATGCAGTTGAAAATGATCAATCTATGTAGTCTAAGCACACAACCTTTTCTAGACTGAACTGATTTTTTAATCTTCAGTTTTAAAACTACTGTCAACAATGATCTTCAAAAATTCAAGTACAAAATCAATTGCCATTTTGTGTCTTTTGAATCATGTTCTTCTCAATAACATTTTCTCAGATTCTTTTACTCTAAGTAACCCCCTACATCTTAGTGGCTTAGCTGCCTTGCTTGGGGTGGAATAAAAAACAAAAAAAAAAACTATGTGACCTATCATTACAACTCCTCTGTATTCTGGTAAGGGCATTTTTACTCATGGATATCTATATTTTTGCCATTGCCATGAAAACCAAATGCAATCTAATGTCTATATCATGCTTAGCCACTCCATCAGTAATACATGGATTTTGGTATGGAACCCATATAAAGAATGAAGAGGACCCAAAGTTAATATTTATATGCAGGCCCATTTAAATTAACTCTGTGTGTCCTAATAAAATCAGGTTGAAAATTTCAACAACCTCTAAATAAAAGAATTCAGTATATATATATATATATATATATATATATATATATATATAAATGAGATAATTTAGCTCTTGAAAATATATTTTCAATTGAGCACTGTTGAACGACAAGCTAATTCTAAAAACAATGGTCACCTGTGTAAATGCGAAGTTCTTCAGTAAATTGAATGGAGCAGTTTGGCTGCTTGGTGTTTGTTTATATTTGTAAAAAAAACAATATTCTAGATTTGGCTGATTCATTCTGTTGAGTGAAGATGGCTCAGTGGTAGAAACTCTGACTGACACCAAATCGGTTGGGTTTTGATCCGGGCTTGAGGCATTTGGTTGTCTAGTCACACTGAGAAACTGTGATACAGCAAGGCAGTACTGTCTGCGAATGACATATATATATATATATATATATATATATATGTATATAAATAAAAAGGAAGAACAGTAAGATATATAATCCGGTGTTCTTATAGATATTTTTATTTTTGCAAAATAGTGCTCAATGTAAATTTACAGAGCATTAATATTATAAATTAATTGATTTAAAATATTTTTTTTTGCTACACAGTTGTAACCATGTTTCAAAAATGGAAGCTAAAAGCCACAAATTTAATTTTGTAATTAAATTAAAAACATTAGTTCCATTTCATCCCCAAGCGAATTTTGGAGTAACTTTTAAAATTACTGGGTTTTAAATACACAGCTAAAACATAATTCATGTTTCCAAGGTTACAGATAAATCCATTTTGCTATGATTTGATTATAGTGGTGAAGGCTTTGTGCAGAACCAATCACACTTTTTGAAGGGCTGAATACAGAGATCTGGTGCACTATGTATCACAAAGTCTCCAAACGACCCTCTGCAGGTTTTGAATTCAGACTTGTCCTTCTCCTGGACCAGTTGCCATCCAAGGCTATAGAACCCAGTCTGTCTTGCTATTTACCCATAGCTGGAGGAAGAAGAAGAGGATTAATAGCTTTCCCAAGGGTATTTGCATGTAAGTGAATTTAATGGATTCAACTGGAGTATATATAAAGTACCATGTGTACTTCTAATGTGTTTCTTACTTAATTGAGTTCACTCACTCTTAAACTAAGTCCAGCTGCAGATTCCTACTGTATTTTCTCAGACGACTGCTAAATATGACTTTTGCTGTCTTCCCTAGTCCCACATTGTTCTCACATTAATATGCAAGTTCACCTTGTCGTCCGGCGTATAACATCTCTCCCTGTAAAAAAAGTCTTCTTTTTAACAACTAGAGTGGGTATCAGGAAAACATTACATCATCGCTCCAATATTAATGTCTGACCCCTTTCTTTATATTTCCTGGGTCTTAATTAATTTATATGCCTCTTGTGTAGGCCATTTTTCCCTGAATCAAATACACCACCTTGCTGATGCATTTGTAGATCCTTCTCGGTTCCCATTTTTTGTTTATCTACTTGGTAAACCTGAAATAATACTGGTTCGCCTTTTTGAAGAAAAGGTTGTAATTTTATTTATCAGTGTACTCATCAGCAACAGTTTATCAAATGCTGATGTTATTTTCCAATTAAACATTCGTTCTGTTGGCAAAGTACCATCAAGTGTCTTCGGGTTTGGATTTGGGCTATAATCGGCCAAAAATTGTTGAAACGACTCTTCCATCTACTTTCTACCAGCCTTGATTTTTTCAAGGCTCTTTTAAAAGTATCAACAAATGGTTCTATACATCCATTTGATCTCGGCTGGTATGCCGGTGTTACATATTTGACAGTTGGCTTTCTGCAAAATTCCTTGAATTCAGTTGCTGTAAACAGTGTACCATTATCTATTACTACTGTGTCGGGAATTCTAAATCTGACAAACAGTTTCTCAAATATTTTAATGGTAACCCTGGTAGTCACTCTGCTACATTTTATTACATCTGGCCACTTAGAAAAACTATTTACTATTACTAAATAGTACCAGCTATTCATTAATCTTTCATAATCTATATGTAATCTTGACAATGGCTTTTTTGTTTTGGGCCAAGGTTGAAATTTTAATGGTGGCAATTTAGCTGTCAAGGCATGGTCTTAGCAAGACTTCACTTGATCTTTGACATCCTGATTCATGCCCTTTCAGTATATGTAAGTTTGCACCAATGCTTTCATGTGAGATGTACCCATTGTGTCTGCCATGGAACTGTTTCAATATTTTTTTTTTTTGCAAAGTCTCTGGTATTATTACTTGATCTCCATACCTTAAACATCTGTCACATATGAAAAATGACTTTTCCCCTGCCACCAAACATTTTTAATTCTTTTGTTTTTCCTTTTTTATAACTCCTCAGATATTCGCTCATTTTTATAATACTGTTGTCTTTCTGGGATTCACTCTTAATATTCCCTTTTGTAATTGATAATGTTCTTATTTTATTCCATAGAGTAAATTTTGTTTCTTTCTCAGCTTTTATCTGGGCAATGACGGCATCTTCAAGTAAATCCCTACATAGGTATTAATTGTGACAGACTATTTGTATCTCCTGTTTTTTTAGATGGCAAATATTCAATAGTGAAATCATATCCTAGGAACATTGTAGCCCATCATTGCAGGCAGTTTGCTGAATGTATGGGAATGCCTTTTTTCAAACCGAATATTTCCAAAAGTTGTTTACAATTGGTTTTTAGTGCAAACTTTCTACTGTGTAACATTCTGTTATTTTTTTCTAATTTCCACAATCTCGTCTCATCACCACTATTGTAATGTGTCTGCTACTTGGTTGAGTCCAATCACTCTTAGAGTTAGTCCTGCTGTAGATTACTATTGAATTTTCTCAGAAAACCACTAAATATGGCTTTTGCTGTATCTGGTCCCACATTGCATTTTCTCACATTTATATATGTGTGGGTGAGTTCACTTTGTCACTCAGGGGTATAACAGTACTATTGTCCTTATCTTTGTTATTGTTATCCCAACATTTCAGCCATTGCCCTCAGGTCTTCATCAGATGTATGTCGATCTGGATAACAGACAGGAAATTCTGAATCGAACCCTTTATTTCCTCTATGGGAGTAGACTGTTCCCGTTCCACTGCCCATGTCTAGGAATATCTCATCTAGTTTTTATTTTTAGTATTGCTCAGTTATTCCTTTCCCTGTTTCCATTGAGTTCAAGTATATACTGCCCAGCACAGGGATCGAACTCACAATTATTATATGACCAATTTCATGAACCAATGCTTTAATCCACTGTGGGACAATTCTTGAACTTGGAGCTTTAAACCTAACATGCCTGCTGATGAGTGCTGCTGCTGCTGCTTGTCGTTCTTGACTGCAATCACTGAAGCTTTTCCCTTTTTGTTGCAGCGACTGTCATTTGTCTTTCTTTCTTTAGTAGTGGCTATCATATCCTATATATTTCTATGCTATGCCTACTAAGAATGTCTTCATAGCCTTCATTGCCGATTCTTTCAGATGTCTAACCCTCCAATGTTTTTCTTTGTCCAGTATTTTCCCTTCATTCCACAGGGGCTGATGACTACACTTTTCCCTCCATACATTATCAGCCATGCCTTATTTCATTGTCTCACCCTTCACCATGGCATTTCGATGTTCCTCTAGCCTTACTTTTAGGGTCTGCTTGTATCACTTTTATATTCTTTGCCATAACTGCAAGGAATGGTGTACACACAGTCATTCTCCCCTCCATGTTAGACTTCCTTTGGCAGGGATTTCTTCAGAGTGGAACTACTTCTGAATATTTTCCTGATGTTTTATGGACCACAGAGCTTTTGTTTTTTAGAATTTTGATAAGCTCTTGACATAAGGCAGACAGACCAAGGCAATTTTCTGGTCTTCCTTGCTGGCCTTTCTGTTTCTACCTACAGATTCTGGTGTTATGTTTCCAGGGTAGTTGTTATTCTGAAATGTACACCTGATGCTAATTATTTCTTGTTGGTATGTGTCTGGGCTGCTACAGGAATTTAGTCCGGTGTTGTAGGTATTGGATAAATCCTTTTCTTCACATTGTATTGGTGAATAGAAGTTGAGGTATTGTCCAGTGACAGTTGGCTTGGTATAGAGATGTTTTGAACCCATTCTTTGTGTAAGTTACTACTACATCCAGGAAGACTAAGTGATTATTAGTGTCTTCTTCCATTGTAAACTGGATTGAATTTATTATTGAGTTCACATGTTCTAGCAGTATTTATACAGCTTCCTGGTGAGGCCAGAGTATAAAGGTGTCATCTATATATCTCAGCCATACTGTTGGCTTTAATGGTGTTGTTCTTAAAGCCATTTCTTTGAAGTATTCCATATATGTTTGCCATCACTGGTGACAACAGTGAACCCATAGTCAAGCCTTCCTCCTGTTGGTATACATCATATTCTAGTTGGAAGAATGTTTTCTGTACACAGAATGTCAACATTTCCACCAGATTATCTATTTAAATGTTAGTACGTTCTCCAAGGGAGGGGTCAGATTCCAATCAATTTTGAACCATTGTCAGGGCTTCAGCTGCAGGAACTCTGGTGAACTGGCTTACCACAACCAAGCTTACCATCTGGTTGTTATAGATGGAAGCTTCCCAGATCAATTCCACAAAATATTCTGAGTTTATATATAAAATAAAATATTCTGAGGTTAGTATATATATATATATATATATATATATATATATATATATATATACATACTAGGAATTTGCTCAGCAGGCGGCATTCTAAACACCTGCAGCTGACTATAGGTCATCCTTATTCTTATTTAGGACCTATGACAGCTTCCTCTCATAGTTTTTAGGGTTGGATCCATTTTTCAACTTGCTATAGCTGTCATCAACTAGGTTTGCCAATTTTGCAGAGTATTCCAACTTGTCTATCACCATATACTGTTGGAAGTAGTCAGATGAAGTGAAGGAAAATCTTGTTAGTTATTCAATTGAGTTGACATGAAATAAGAAACTTCATTCCTTGTACAACACTTCATTATCTTTTTATTCTACATTCAAATAAATTCAACCACAGCTACACAAACCTATATAATAATAATTATTCTATTCCTAACCACAAAACAGATTAACAGCTTTGCATTATTACTCTTGTGATTTTTGCAACAAACACTATTATGTTAAACAGAGGAATAATATTATGCACATGGGATAAACCAATAAATTCAAATTGTGTGGTTTTAATAAAAACAAAAACAAACTGTGATGCCATATTTTTAAAATTGGAATATTTAGTTTTTTCGTTTTACCTTTCCCAGGGTTTATTTCTTCAAATTCTTCATGTGGATCTTCATGATGGAATTTCACAGTCTTCCAAATTGGATGGATTGAAATCCTATTTGTAGCAATTATAAAATAATATAATATTAATTAATTACTAACAAATACTCTTTTGTTATATTAAATAAAAATAATAATTTACTGATTATTTTTTAAAATACGCAAAAAAAAGTATGTAAATAGGAAAAGCAATAAAATTGAGAGTATGGAAAATATTTTAAATTAGAATATATGAAAGGCATAATTTAAAACTGCAAACAATTAATTTTCATAACGGACAACCATATTTTTCGGTGCAATTCCCCCAAAAGAAAACAATTCATTTATCTAGTGTGGATTGAAAAAATTCATATGCTACACTATTGTTTCAAGTTAGGCAGGAGAGCAGCAGACGCAAAGATGACTGTTCAAGTGTATGGATACAGTTCAGTTAGAAGCAGTATATGTCAAGAATTTATGAAAATTGAATTTTAATTTAGCTACGTACCTTCTGAAGAAAATAAATATTAAATGAACTTTGACCCATATATATATATATATATATATATATATATATATTTTAAGACATTTTTTTATAGATACAAATATTTAAGTAAATGCATTTACTTAAATATTTGCATCTATAAACAAAAGAACGTATAAACATAAAAATGTCTTAAAATAATTATCACTTTGTCCATTTCATATATATATATATATATATATATATATATATATATATATATATATATACTATCTCACACCTCTAGCACGACTGAGTTTCATGCATGATGCAATCTTCGGGTGCTGAATTCAAACTTTTATTACTGTATATTCATCTCTCTCTCTCACACACATATATATATATATATATATATATATATATATATATATATATATATATATATATATATATATATATATATAAATGTGTGTGTATACATATATATATATATAGAGAGAGAGAGAGAGATCCATGAGAATGAATACAGTATAATTCAAACATCCGTAACATTTAATTTAAAAGAAGGTTCAATACAAAGTAGAGCAATATTATTTATTTTAGGATATTACATCAAAAACATTTCAAAATCATTACACAATTACAATTGTGCAGCAATTTTTCCATGTTTTCAGTATGATATCTTAAAATAAATATATGTATATATATATATATATAATAAAAAGGCAAGCCTTTTTATTATATCCTTACTCTGTCCTAGACATTGAGTTCTACCTGGATCTTTCCTCTTGGAAAAAATTTTTTTCTGAAAATATACATGTATGGGAATTTTTTAGATATTTTTTTCATATGTATGTATATTTTCCACTAATATTATCTATATATATATATATATATATATATATATATTTATATAGTGTATGTGTGTGCATAAAAAATTCAGATTTAAAATATATCTGTAAAACATCTGTCTATATTTCTGAGATGAGGTTTTATAATTATTTACATTGTTTGTGCTATTGTCTTCATCTTTGCTGCCACAATGTTTCGTTTGTTCACCTGAAGAAGGCCAGAGCATATAATGGCCGAAACATCATGAATATGGCAGCAAAGACAAGGACAACAGTGTGAACAATGTAAATAGTGTAAATAATCTATAAAGACAATATAAAAGGGAAAAAAAAAACATAAGGAAAACTTTTATGCCAACACATTTCATTACTTGAGAAACTTTCATCACCAGCCTAGATAAAGTTGACATAAGTTTTCCTTTTATCTGTTCAATTTTACATATATATATGGCCACTACTCTCTTAGTGACTAAGTTCTGTTCTGATCTGGTCACTAAGTGAGAATTTATAAATGATCACTATTTCAGGCATTAGCATTTTGTTACTATTTCACCATTTCTAATTCATTTCCAAATGTTTATACACTACAATGGTGTTTGTAAACTATAAATATAATACAAGTAAATTATTTATTTTTAACTTTATTCATTTTGAAGCATGAGAAGACACTCATGATCAAAGTTTTCAGCCAACATACAAAACCAAAACTAGTTGGATACATTTTTTTAAAATTTTATGAGATTTTATAACTGACCAATAAAATCTCATCAGAAGGTTTGTTTGATAAACGATAATTACTAGGGAAAATACCACTAAAATATGTGCGGACATAGTTGTAGACTTACCGCATGTTATTTTTGGACTATTCAGAAAATAACTATTAGCTATGCTAACTCTTGTAGTCCTACCAAGGATTGAACTCACCATCCTTGGCTAATAAATTTCTAGAGATATTAGACTCCTACTCCTCAGATTAATAGCAGTGTTCTTAGCAGTAACTTATCTCCCTTCCTGCCAAAGTATATTTAACCTTTAGGCATTATTTAAGTTTATTGAACTTTTGCCTCAGGTGAGGTGCTGTTACTCAGTTTACTGAGCAAGATCTTGTTTTAACAACAACAGTAATAACTTCCTTTACCACACCTGGAAATTTGAGAAAAGTCCAATCGATGTAAATTGTGTAAATCTGTTGCTATTTTTTCAGGTCATCATAAGACAAATCAAATCTTTGTAACTAAGTTGATCTGGAGTCAAACCATTTCATAACGAAAAGTTTGGCTAAATACGGTGTCAGTAACTCTAACCAGCTAACAACATCAACATTCTTATTTAGTTATAAAAGATATTCATTACCTTTCCCATTTCATGAAAGGTTTTTCCAGAGACAACATTGAGGCTGGATTTGCTGGAGTACCTGGAAATATAAATGCTGATTATTACATTATACAATATAATACAAAATCTATCAAATGGTGAGTACTATCTTTTTTCAGTCTGATTCTTAAAGTATCTTTATACATCAAAACAAAAAAAAAAAATGTTCTGCTTTTCAAATGCACAACAAAATGAAATTTGAAGAATCAAATTTAACACTTTATTTATTTTATTAATTCATGTTGTGGGATTACCCAACCTTGTCAATTAGGGTTCTTCTAATGCCCACTAATGCCAATTCAAAAACTCCAACTTTTGACAAAAAACAATATTTATCAAAAAACAGCTAAATTAATCAAAATGTGCTTAATATGATTTTCAAAATACAAAAATGTAGAATCATTTAAGACGTGAAATACTTGGAAAACCAACCTACCTGCTAACATGTTTTCTACTAATCAAGTATCGAGAAGCAGTAAATTTTGCCTGACAATACCTATAAAAGTTTATAATTACTACCTATGATTTTTTAAAAATTTATGGTAATTGCCTTTAAAAGCTTCAGAATATTATCAGATATATGCAATTATCTGGGGATGTATTTGTCTCGGGATGCAAATGTCCCGGTATACAATTGTCTGGGATGCAAATGTCCTGTACATAACTGTCCTAGAACCATGTGTGTGCATATGTACTATCCAATGAAACAGCAATTAAGAGTTTAGGTTCAATTCATTATTTCAAGTTTCACACAATGTGATTGTAAGGCAAAAAGACTATATTGGCACATCAATTATATTCATTTTATTGAATGGATTGGGGCCTCTTACATCCCCACTGATGAATAACCCCCCACACACACACACCATCCACTACACACCAAACAAGTTGCCCAATGCCAAATGAAAAAAGGCAAAAAGAATTTACTAAAATTACCTGTTACTAGAAAGACCTGTGAAAATTTCGCAGTTTTCCTATTTTAATAATCTGAAGAATTTTATATATATATATATATATATATATATAAATTCATGAATCATTCACACAAAAAACAAATATAGAGGTTAATGATTTAAATGGCGAGAATACATCTTCGCAAACTATATAAATGAGATACACCAACCCCAAACCTGTATATGAATGATATGATCCCTGGTCATAAATTCCAGTTGCATAAGGTCTTTTAATTTTTATATATATTTTATTTTTTATTTTATATATATATATATATATATATATATATATATATATATATATCAGGGGTTCCCAAGCTTTTCTGTCACCAGCCACTTCCACATGGGAAAAATTTTCCAGCGCCTACGTGTATAGTAAATATTCAAAATCATACAGTGATGGGTAAATTATGTTTTGACAGCCACTTCTCCTGCCTTGATAAATTTGAGATGGCCAATGTGTTAAAGAAAAGTGAAAACAATTTATATATTAAATATAATTTCTGCTGTGGTTACATCTTAATTTTACTGGCAAAGTTGTTCTTTATATTTCCTTATCTGATTTATATCCCCCCAAAAAAAAAAAAAAATGGAAGTTATTTTGTCTGAAGAACTACTTGAATGTTAACAACTTTACAAATAAATACTATTGTGGGAGTGTTATTCGAAGGCATCTGACATCAGTATTGTTCAACAGCGTTACTATAGTTGTATATATGATTACAGAGTCTCTACTCAATGAGCATTACGAAAGTGACAACAAGTATTCAGTGACATTACAAAAGTGGCAACGAGTGTTCGTTGACATTACAAAATGGGTGATATCACCCAGGTTGATATTTTGTGGCCTAGCATATATGCTGATTCCTTAAGTTTATGAATTTTCACAAAAGTCTCCTGGCCCAACCAAGCATAGATATGAATATAATATGGGAACCAGTAATAAAGATTGCCAGAGAAAAGCAATAATGACAACGAAAATTGAAATATGAGCTCTAGTAAAAAACATGCAATGATAACACCAAAAATTGCAATATGAGCACTGGTAAAAAATTGTTGCTGAAGATATTAGGTTTATACTACCCAGAAATTCATACACAGATGTCCTCAAGGACACATGGCACAGAGGATAAAGGCATTAGATTCAGTGACCCAAAGAGTGTGAGTTCAATACCTGGTTAAGGTGGTGGAGAACTTGGAGAGAGGAATTAACAGGAGATAATTGATAACTGACATCCATTAGACATGGCACGTGGAACTAGAACAGTCTATAAAGGGTTTGTTTCAACATTCCAACCACTTACCACTTGAAGAAGGCCAAAGCGTACAACAGCTGAAATAAATATGGCAACAAAGATGATAGTCCAAATAGTCCAAATAATGTAGTGTACATAATACCTCATCTCAGAAATATAGACACATAACACCAGAATATATCCTAGTTCAACAAATGAGACAACACAGCCCAATACCATTACAAGTTTTTAAAAGAAATATATTGTCAGTCACTTTCTCACTCACAATAGAAGGTTTGTTGAAGAATGGATTTTTCTCTCCTGTTCTCAGCAATGTTGCACCTCATTCTGTATATAAATATATATAAGATCCATGTATGCCTTGAATTTGGTAATGAGATATTTAAATTCTCTAGCGAAAACACCATAACAATTCCAATTTTTTTTAATCAATATATTAACTGGTCTTCAAATAAACATGTGTAGGAGAGAATTCCTATGTGATAAATTAGAAAGTCAAAGTATTTATAAAACCAACAAGGAAAAGAATATCAGGCCAAATAACCAACAAAATGAAAAACTAATCAATATAAAGAAATTACAAATGTACTGCTTAGAATGAACTTAAAAAATTCACACTTTTATCTTTAAAAATAACATTCAACACTTGCAATATCAGTAGATTAAAATAAATTCCGCATGCAGTTTCTTTGAAAATATTGGTACAATTTAACAAAGATTGTAAGACAGGATTCAACAAATTGCATTCTATCACATCAATATCCTGTTGACAATTTTTATTATGTTTCTGTGAATTATTTTTTTTTCATCATTCTCCACAGCTTTTTTCTCTTTCTTTTGACATATTTGATTTTCTTTTTTCCCCAGATTTATTTCCTTCCATGCTTCAAGAACAATAACAAATCTGCTTTCAACAATCAATTTCCTTTTTCTGATAAAGCTGCAAATGTTTTTAGTCTGCAAATTTTAGCTTTGTTTTTCTCTTAGTGCTTATGCTCTCTCATACTTTTTTTTTTTAACCAGATTTTTTCCCCCCCACTTTTCTGAGCCATTTTCAGCTTTGGCAACATCTAACTTCCAAAGTATTTTCGCTTGTATCAGTTGGCAAGTTTCCAAACTTGAAATAAGCCATAAGTGCCATGAAACAAAAGAAGACGACAGATTTCAAGCACCATTTTTAGACCCAAACAGAAATCATTCAATCACATTTCAACAAACAGAGTAGAAATGTTTATAAGCAGACCATGCCTTACATGGCAAAAAAAAAAAAAATTGTACTGCCATAAAAGAAAATAAAGTAACCAAGTTCATTTAACATTGTTTTTAATACAGGTAAAAATATAAATGATACAATTTCTGTATGTTTGTTTGTTACTGTATAAGAAAGATTATTAATCTAATAGCAGGAAAATGATCTAATTGAAGAATAAAGTAATTTCATTTCCAAGTAATTTTTAATTTATGCAGACAAGAAAAAACTATCCAAGGGCAGTAACTCCAGGACTATTAACTGCTAATTACAGATTTGTTTCAATTGTCATTAAAACAAAAGATTCAATAACCATGGAGTTTAGTGATTATTAACACTTGTAAGTAATTATAAAATAAATTCTATAAAAAAGAAATAACATCAAGTATAGGCATAGGAGGAATTTAAGAGAACTCATTTTTTTTTAAGTTTAATCTATTTTAACAACTAAATCTGAAAAAGATGATTTTAGGTAATGCTACCATTTAATATAATGTAATTACTAAATTTGAAATAATTAACCTACCATATCTGTTGTTCATCATGAGACACAACCAATTTTGTCTATAAATTTTATTTAATCAATTTATTTCCTGCTGTCAACTGACAAATATATAAAAATATCATTTACTGTTTGCTAAGATTTGCTTACTCTGTCACAAGACTACATTACACAATGAGAACTGAACAAAGACCAATGATTTGCAAACCAAGCATACAAACAAGTTCTATAAGTCCAACCTGCTTATCACTTTAATCTGAACTCCACAAGCATTACAAATTGTAGATTTCTTGATATTCAATGTGCAGCATTTTATTTTGAGAACATTTTGAAGATCAGATATAGAAGATAATCTAATGTAAATTTTGCCATTCTCATTCATATGTATCAAGAGCATTAACATGGTAGAAGTGTGTGTGTGTGTATGCATATGTGTGTATGAGTGAAAAGGCACATCATACATGTGTCCCTACATGTCAACCACAATGATACAGATTCTTGAAAATGATTAGGTTCTTTGTAATCAAAGTCAGTAATAAGAGTGGGAAGACTGCCACGAATATGTCATCCATGCTCAAAAGAAAGAATAGTCATGTTCATACAGCAAGTCCAAGTTGATGAGGATCACTGTCAAGCAGCTCAAGGCAAAAGAGTCAATTATCAAATATGAGATACCTAAGGACATCAGTTATAAGTCTTAGGTAATGAGGAGAGAGCAGTTCATGCCTGGAATTTAATTATGCAAAAACTGAAGCACAGCCCAGGGAGGCTAATGTTGTTCTTTGTTTACCGTTTGGTCTTGATTGAAGTTCTTCTTAACTTCAACCAAGACCAGGAAAGGAACAGGAGGGATGACAAGTTCCTATAGTGATGCACAGCAAGTTCACGTTGTCTGTGATGGTCTTGGGGTTGTGAACAATGAGGGACATGTCATGATGCCCATCTTCTTTTCACAGGGACTCAAAGTCAATGCCACCACCTACATGAAAGTGCTAGATCCAGAGAAAAATGTATATATTTCCAACAGGATTCTGCTCCTTGCCATTGTCAATATGATCCAGGAATGGCTGGCCAAGCATTTTCATGATTGTGTCACCCCCAAATGAAACCTCCTAGTTGTCCTGAATTTAATCCCCTGGACTATTTTCTGGGTATTTTTCAAGAGGAAGACCAACAAACCATCCCACAATAGTTATTGACAGTCGAATTCATTTCAGAGTATTGGGTTGTTCATCGATATTCCCTACTGTGTGAAATGAGTCCTATGAGAGAAAAGTCTTTAAACATGAAAGCCTTGGCTGTGAATTGTTTGCGGTAGTCCATGGGTCACCACTTTATGACATACAAACACACACACACACTCTCACTTCAGCTGATACCATCTGTTGTGGCAAACCAGGGCTTGACAGGCAGGTCTATAATGACAGCTTGAATTAGGCTGCTGACTTGTTTGCAGTACATAGAATATAGCCTTGACTGCCTACACACCAGGTGTCAGATCATGCTTAGTCTGGTCTATTCCCTGAATCTTTACTGCTGTGGGTGACCTTATCAGGAGATTAAACTCCCAATGAAATTGCATTCAGGTTCCTTGAGATATGTAAGCCCTTCCACTATGACATACTGTATAATATATACACATTACATACTTTAGAATAGTAAGCACTCATTAAAGAATGTCATCATGGATGTGATGGCCAACATTAAAAAAAACCATCTAATCCAGGTATGCAGTTTCTTCCAAAGTCACATTCAGGTAGTCATTAAAGCTGCTGATGGTCCTACAGAAAAAATATTTTTTCTGTTTTTGAAAATTGAATATGTGCAGAATTTTTTTTTAATTATACTGATATTTTCTTTTCTGTTGAATATCTGTTTTATAATTTGTTTCTCAATTACTTGACATAGTAAAAAATATTTGTAATTAAGCAAAAAACTAAGTGATAACTAATGTGCCAAATGCACTACTTTTAAGTGCTTAAGGTATAAGAAACATTTCCTCAAAAAATAAAAGTAAATATAACCTACCTTTTATTAGGGTTTTAAGAGTAAGGATATGTAACTTCTTCAATGGTAAATAAAAGATATCTATTTCCTGGATGCTTCACCATGAAGCAATGATTACCAAGCTGGTCTTGCAGACCATTACATCTGTAATGATTTCAATCCAAACCAAGTGCTCCATGTGTCGGACTAAGTTTTTATTTACCGATATATTATTTTTATTCAAGAAATAATCTAAAAAACAAACACAGAAGAATTTGGCAAAATTAGATTCTGCACAAACACACACTGTGAAGTGTTCACAGAAAATAGATAACTTGTGACACAAGGTCTGAACATCTTCAAAACCAGTTGCATGGCCTTGATGTAACATACCAAATAACCGGAAGGGACCTTACGATGCATACATAAACAGACAATCTGACATGGTATTACTAATTTGGCAGTGAGATGCCATTGATTAAGATTGTATTTTTGGAAAAAAAACATTTCATCCCATACAAGATAATAAGTCCACTGAGATGCAAGGAGGTTACAGAGTATAAGAAAATATAAATAAAAGAAAACATTAAAGAACTATAAAAGATCAGGAATTAAGAAAACAGTAGATAATGATTGACATGGCATTTAAAGTTTTGAAGATTCACAAGTAAGAAGTGTGAGAAAAGAAACTTTTAGCATGGAACTTATGGTTACATGTAGCCATTTCAACTGCAAAATGGTGAGACCTTGCCACCAATCTAGTACTGCACTTAAAATCATAAAATCAAGATATCAAAGAGGAAAGCTCATCAGAACACTTACCATGAAAATATTTAAAGAAAAGACACAAAGAATCTACGTTAAGACAGTGGGTAAATGACTTAAACCAAGATGCCAGGTCAGGACCAATAACATTGCAGATTATTCTTTGTATTGAATCAAGAAACTCTAAATACATGGCAGAAGCAACAGACCCAATATGGCAGCAATATTTAATGCATAGACAAATGGTAGACTTATAAATGTATAAGATAGATTCTGGTGAGAAAAATTGTTTCGCATGACAGAGTGAACCAAATTGTCTAGCAGCAGACCTAGCAATTAATCCAATATAAGCACTCCACTTCATGTCATCAGAAAATGTTAGCCCAAGAAGCCATCATGAATTAAGCTCCTAGGGATTACTGATAGAAAGTAAAAAAATGGTCTCTAAGACAAAAGAGAGAAGTTTCTTTTTGAAAGTGTTCAAATTATATGATGGAGTTGTCACATTCATGATAACTGAGCAGGTAGATTCTTTACATCTCTAGAGGAATTTTGCAGAGCATTGTACTATAATGACTAGTGAAGATAATATTACTCTCAGTATCTGAATATGGCATTACCATCCCCACAAAATAATAACACTTGGTTTATGGGTGGAAAAAAAAGAAGATAAAGACATGTATATTTATATCAGAGAACACACTTTACCCACATATTTATCATAGTTCATTCAAGAAGTAAAACAGACATACACTAGCAGAATTGAAAAAGAGAAGTGAATTAAAGTCTTACTTGGTAAGTTGATTTGGTTGTCATCACATCAGTGATTTTGGCAAGAGAAGATGAAAGGCTGGAATACACATGGTGCTGGTCTAAGAAATTGGCACCAGCTGGCCAGATAATTTAATTTAGGCAGATTATCACATAACACATTTCTTACCCTTTGACACATAGCCAAATCAAGGGCAAACAATAAAATTTTGTAACTACAGGCCTCTCTCCCTGCAACTTCTGGCTTGTTTTAAAACTAAAATCCCTATTGAAATATTGTGAACAAGTTTAAGAATGCAACAAGGCAGCTGATGGTGATCTTGAAGGAGAACTTCTCAGACTATTTGGAATAGTGGAAAAGTGTAGAGTGGGATAAGTGCATGAGGTACCAAGGAGAGCACTTTGAAGGGGACTAAGGTTTCATTGCCCTATGAAGGCCCTTTCATTCATTAATATGAAATAGCTTGACACTTTTCAGATTGACTTAATGTGTGTATCTGAATATGTCAAGGGTCAAGAGCATTTGTGTATAGTATGAACAAAGGAATGAACATACTTACTCGGACTGTGAATAATATTTGAAATCTGCCTGCGAGTCATTTTCAAATCAGCACTGCTGAGAATTTCCTGGATCTGAAATAATCAAGAAACAATGATTAACAAAACTCATCATTTCAAAAGTTGAAAGCAAAACACGTAAAATAGAAAAGAATAAGCAAAAATTAAAAGTCTTTTTTTTTCATTTTTTTCTTCTATCCAAGTTAGAACCAGAAAATCAGAGATGAAGGAGTTTTCCATTTGCAACCCCAGTGTCTTTTGAAATTAAATATCACTGTTTATTTTTATTAATAGAAATGTGACATAAATATATACCTTAGAATCAGCTGCTCCGTTCAAAAGAGAATAATAAAAAATTGCTCGATCCACAACATCAACTTCAGAACAATGAGTCATCAAAACATGCAAAAGGCAATCCATTCCTACAAAAAGAAAAAAAGTAATTTCATCTTCACAAAAGATACATTTAAGATTAACAATCAAATATTTTAATAGTCTTAATTATTAGTTCTCTCTTAAAAGATTTTACAAATTCATGTTTGAAAAGTTAGAGTTTCAAAGCAAAAATTTCTGTCACATTAATTCAGATAAATGATCAAGAGAGATTCAGAATTAGCAGGATGTTGTTCTTTGAAAATTTGGTCGAGTTGTACAGTAAGCACTGTGACTAGAAATAATCATTTCTTGTTTTCTATAATATTATAGAAGAAGCATTCCAGACCACAAATATTCAAAATGATTTATATTATAAAACTTAATAGGAGATGCAGTTTTCAATGTAAATTCACTGTAAATTGGTAATCCTAAGTAATATAAAAAAAAAAAGCTCATACCCCATGAAGAGTGGATATTCATGGTCTGAAGTGCTTAATCTATATTAACTTTTAATACTCTGTATATGACTTCATTTGCTACTGAAGGTGACTGATCCATGAACAATAATGTGTTTGAATTTCATAGTTGTGTTGTCATATCCTACTATGGCAACAGAAAACAACTTTGAATGAAATTAACAATAAGGATACTGGAATAGAGAGGTATTGAAAAAGAATATAGTGAAAAGGGAAGTAATATTAATAATGCAGAGTGTTAAAGATTAATATTATAAAAAAATTTATGAAAAAAACAAAACATTTCAGGTCACAGTGCCTGTTGTACAACTACACTGAAAATTTAGATTGACTATATAAAAAAATATGAGAATTTTTTCAAAAATTCCTTAACCCCAAAAGTCAACAAATTAATTAAGGCACATTTTATTCCAAAATGGAACAGAAATAATGGAAGAATGTTCAAAGAGAGACTTCAAAGATTGATTATTGCAATGTGAAGCATGGATGATGAATGTAAACAAACAGAGAATTATAATGTTGAATTAGAAGTTGATAGCTCATTAAGCTTAACAACACAAGATCAAAAAAAAGGGTCAGATGATTTCATTACACTTATTCTCTAACTGATGGGAAGGAGCTTGCCTCGAAAATCAGCATTCAAAATATGAGATTTTTACCTGTATTTGAACAAGCCATGTATTATGTGAAGTCTTTGCAAGCATAATAATTAATTATAATCATCACAAATCATCCTGTAACTCATTAGGGTGATTAGCAGCCATGGATATACATTGGTTCCAATCTCCAGTGGGAATGACTACAAAACAGTTTCCCTTCCCCAATTCATAATCAGAAGCATACAAATGCATGCTGGGATTTCTTCCTAGCCAATAAAATAGGCCAATTCTCAGTTTCATATGACTCAGTCCTGGTCTGTCTTGTCTTGAAATAAGAATGTCATGTTCGTTTATCCAAACCTGCTCTTGTGTGTCAACCCCAATTCTTAGTTTGTGAAATTTTTACCTTATTACTGTTAATTTGACTTGTATATATTGTTTGCATGTTTTATACAGTGTAACCTGGGTATAAGAGAGTTGTCGGGACTGGAGAAGAAGTCTCTTATATCCAGGTTTGGTCTATTTTATATACATTAACACAGGCTCTAATTTGGAACCAGAGAAAATCTCTCTTATATCCGGGTTTCTCTTATATCCGGGTTACACTGTATTATTTTTTGCTTATTCTTTTTTCTTGTTGTTTATTGCATATTTTGTCAATTCTGTTCCTTGGGCAGTTCTACCATTTATTTTATATTTAACCATGGCCCCTCACTCTACAATATATATAAGGCAAGAAGACCATCTCTCTCCAGGCTGGTTCTGAGTTCACTTGATTGTTGCCCAAGGCTAGAGTGCCCAGTCAACTCTGCAGCTAACCATTAGCAGGTGGGAAAGTTGCATGCATAACTTTCTAAGAATATTTGTGTGAAAGTAAATGCAACAGCCTCAGCTGGAATTTGAACTCTGGACATCAATCACAGTTTTCACACAGATAACCACTATGCTACATGCATACATAATTAATTATATCTTAATATAATACACTTTATATATCCCACTTTCTAAACTGTTATTCATTGAACTGACAAAAAGGTTTATATATACCAAGAGTAAGTTAACTATTTCAAAGAGTTTGGATTATTAAAAGAAAAGATATGATTATGTGTTTTGAATGACTAAACATGAATCAATATAACAGAGTTTAGCAATATTTGAGGATACAAAAAGAAATTAAAACTTTACCATTAAATATGGAATGTGTTTTATGGTGAAGCAATATATTCCTGCAGACAGAGAGAGTAGCAGTCGCAAGAAACCAAGAAATATTGCCATACATCAGAGAGTATAAAATGTTCATGTGCAAAAACCTCACAGTGGCCTGGAAAAGAAATCAAGTAAAAATAAATTAAAATAGAAAAAGAAGATATAAGAGTCAATTGGGACAATTCAATTTTTATTATTTGTTTAATATCATAAAATGTAGTTGTTTGGTTGTCATACTAGCTCCATATAGGAATTGCCAGGAGCCATATTACATTCACAAGTGAAAATGACTTCACAAGACAGGATGTAAATTATTATTCACAAGAGGAATATTATCCTCATTTTTGTTGCTATTATTATAATTTTTTGGTCATGGTGATTCCAGATTTGTAAGTTCAATTTTTGGACATACTTGATCTTAATAAAAATAGGGCAAGCAATAAATGACCAATACTAAATAAGAACTAGACAAGAAATATCAAGACATGATCAACAGAAATAGAACAATCTTTCCCTATAGATTAAATAAAGAGTTTTGTTTAAAATTCCCTGAAGATTGCTTGGGTTAACAAACACCTGATGAAGGCTAGAGGGCACAATGGCCAAATTGTTGTGATAATAACAACAAAGATGAGGATAATAGTCTGCATGTAAATAATGATAACTTTTCATCCCAGAAATTCAGTAAAACAGTTTGAAGAAAGCTGAAGAATACATCAACCAAAATAATGCGCTAAAAATAAAAGAAAAACAAACTTATTTCATAATATTCAGTGGTCTTTGTTTTTTTGTTTTTTTGTTTTTACATTCTAGCAAGATAGATTGGAAAAACAAGTAATCATCAATGATACCTCATATATACCCAATATCTGCCTTTACCAATTTGACTACAAAAACCAATTGACTAAATGAAGTTAAATTCTTGGTATAGTGGTATGTTTTATAAAGGTGTATTTTGGCAGAGAATGACTCTAGTTATCAATCATTAAAAGTTGACAATTTTATTTTTATTTAAAGCTTTGTAAACACCTGTAACTGCAAATAAAGATGTTATTGTGACATTTAACATTTAGAGGAATTGTGAAGAAAAAAAAAAGTAGGAATTATTTGCTCAGAATGTTCTTAATTATAACATTGATATATGTTGTCTCCAAGAAACCAAAATCAAAGAAATTATATTAAAATCGGAGCTAGATAACACAATAGCTCTGGAAATAGTAAATGTTATGGAAATGCTACTGTCATAAATACCAAATGGAAGAATAACATGACTAAATACTGGATTAACAACCATCTTATACACATTGAAAAATGACATTAAAAGAACTATCAATAAAAACCTTTGAAGAGCTTGGAAGAACTTTTATGAGTTAGCAAATGACAGGAAGGTTTGGAGAAGTCTCATGAGACATATTTAAAAATTTTCTAGAGATTAAAAATCACAGTGTGCCTTCAAGTCGAAAAAGCTCTCGTGATGATGATAGAGAGATTTTTCATTCAGTTCTCTCCACTATATTGTTTACCTAATACAAGTAGACATAATAGTCTTTATATGAATTTCTGATATGAAGTATTTCTATAATTCATCATTGATAAATTTGTCTTTCATCTTATTCTTACTTTTTATCACAAACACTGAAGCAGTTTTTTATTCTTTGCACAGAAAAAAAGAGATAAATTAATTAAGAACTTGTCTCATTGAAATATTTCAAGTGTATTAAACAGAAACAATAATGAAAAAGGTGAAACTGTACCTGTGGTTGGATACGAGAATCAGCAGCAGTCAACTTGAGGATGTCCAGGTAACTGTGAAGTTGTTGTTCAGGCATGTTGAACTTGACATGTCCTGTCACCATGTCATGCAATTGTTGCAACAGGTACAGGTAGATGGAACTGTACAAATATCAATTATAACTTGATGCAAGTTTCTTACAGAAAACAACAAAATCAATTTTGTCAATACTTTTCAACAATCTTCATTTTTTAATGTAAAATGACTACATAAAGAATTTGCAAATTTCTTGTGATCTCTTTAACTAATACTTAGACTTTGTGTCATATAATAATACAATTTTGTTAGATCCATCTAATGTATTTGTCTTTTTGAATTGATTGTATAGACAGTTGCTTATGGGACCAATTCAACTATGACGAAAAGACACTATTTTTCAAAACATTTAGCAAATATCAAAATCAATATCAGTAAGTTGTGAAACCAACATTTTGCAAACTCTCCTATCTTCCATGAAGATCATGAGTGTTTCTACATATACATTACATTAAGAAAGAATATGTTTTGTATATGCCCACTGGTTTTACAGCAAGAAATGATTTCAAAATCAGGTATGTTTACAGATTTTACTGGAAAGATTAAGATCATATGTATATTAATTCAATAATACACACCTCAGCAGTCTTTCTATTACACTTTGGTTTCTCTAAATATGATCTACATGATGCCAGATTTTATGATGCAAGTAAATGTTTTAACAATAAAACTGGTATTAAATGACAAACATTGGTCAAATTTTCAGGTCAAACTTGTATTTAGGAGCAATATATAGTGCAAGTTTCAGCTTATAATAGTTACCCACATTAAAAATATTGATAACTTGTTTTATATATATTTTATTATACAGAATATAATTGATTTTATATATCTTCTCTATAAGAGAGTGGTCACACTACCAACAGTAAAACAGGCAAAAGCACGAATGACAAAAGATCACCTTGCAGTGATACAGAAGAGAAACACATTTGTTTGACTGTTCATCTCACTTCTGCCTTGCTCATCTACAGCAATAGGTTACAACCAAATAAAATATGACAATAGTAATATAGTTTTATTTTGAGGGTGAAAATCTAGCCAAAGAGATATTTTTAAGCCACATAGAAGAATCTGCACTCTGAGAATGAACCTGGTGTCTGTCTGTGTTACAATGCTATAGGGCCGAATTACTGGTGTTGTGACCAATGTCAATTCAATGATCCCAACTGTGAGAAGACAGCCAAGGAAAAAGAAAAATCCCAGTATTTCTCATAATTTTTCTTTCTTCTTCCTATTACAGACCTCACAAATATTTGCAAGTGCATTCTCTCATGTAATGAATGAAAATGGTATGTTCGGTGTGGGTCTCTGAAATGATCCATTAACTGTCATCTCTCTCAAAAATATCACATGGTTCAATGGACAGGAGAAAATGTATCAATCATCGAGGAGAGATTTAGAAGGAAGAAGGTTCAACATTAGATGAGTTGAGGACACTGATGGACTGATGCTATCTGGAAACCATAGATTCTACGGGGGTGTTACAGCAACTATCAACCATCAGAAAATTAGAGAGAGAGAGTATAGAAGAATACAAATTTAAGATAGTCTTCCTGTTTAACAAGGCCTTTGTGGTTGGACCTAATTGGGTTCTGGGAATGGAGAAGCAGTTACTTAGTATATTTAGAAGAGGTTTGCATAGCATACAGCTGCAAACTTGGATAATTGAGCAGAACTCTGCAACCCAAGAAAAAGCTACCCAGATAACAATGTCAGATACCTTGATCCTATCCAATATCAAGTGTTCAAGCTCCTAAAAGGTGATGGAAGTCAATCGCCATAGGTAGAGGCTTAATATCCAGGTGATTAAGAGAAATAGAGATCAGGGTAGGAGGTAGACTAGAATGGATTATCAGACTGGTCCAGTGCCACTGTGGAGAGATAATGTTAGGAAAAATAATCCACCAAGTCAAATAGTTTTGGATCATGCACAGATCACCTGTTGAAGATGTGGTCATAAACAGCACATGCAGAGACACTGCAGGATTCAGGGAAACTATATATAATCCATCTGTAAGAAAGTCCCAGGACAAACAGGAGGATTGCCGACACTAAAAATAAGTGCTATGGGAGATCTTAATACTATCGCCATGAACCCTGATGGTATAAGTTATAGTGATCTTAGATACAGGAGCAGGAACTTCTATTATACACAAGAGAATGTTTGACTATGAAGAATAAGCCTGCTCTTGAGGATAGAAAAATAAATCTGCTAACAATATGTATTTGAAGGTTTATGGCTATGCAACTATAAATTTTCAAGTCGGATATCTAGCAGCCAAACACAGATTTTACATAATTCATAATTTGAACAAAAATATTATTCTGTGTTGTGGCTGGTTGCAAGAAAATGGTGAACATATTTACTATGATTTAGGAGCATTATTCATCAAAGATACATATGTGTCTTAAGAAGACTTCCTTATAGCGTATATAGCATGGATGACCTTAGACACCACATTAAAGCCTCAAATGACCACTTTATGTTTAGTTAGAATTAGGAATAAATTAGAAAAAGAACAACCACATTGCATAGAACAGATAGATTCAGGATATCCAAGTAATTTTTCAGATATTTCGGCTATGAATGCATTAGTAAGGACAGATAACCAGAGGAAGATACCAATTTTTATTGTTAACAATATTAATCAAACCATTATGCTTCAACACGGATGAGTAGAGTCACTCCAGCAATCAGCCTAAGTACTGTGTCAAGTGGTGGTATTAGTGATAGTAATGATACGGATATAAATGATGTTGTAGTACCCAGTGAATTTAGGGCTCCCATCTAAAAATTATTAGAAATAAATAAGGATTTATCCGCAGCCACAATCTTAACAACATAAGATACACAGATACTTATAGAAAACATGGAAAATAAATTACAAAAATCTCCTACAGAAGGTAACACAGAGAGTGTGAAGAAAGGACTAAGCATAAACTACAAGAAAACAGAATGCATGGTCATCAGTAAAAGGATGAGCCCATAATGCAATTTGCAGGTCGGGAACACTAGAATCAAGCAGAAGTTTAAATATCTGGGAAGTGTTGTGACAGAGGACAGTAAATGTGATACTGAGATCCGTAGATATATTGGGATGACCAAGGACGCAATCCAAAAGCTGTCCTTCTTTACTGCAGCAAACGTTGGACAATTTCCTTAAAGATGAAGAAGAGACTCAAGGTGACGGAGATGTGGCTCTACAGAAGGATGCTAAGTGTATCATGGACCGAGTGTGTGAGCAATCATGAGATCTTAGAGAGGTTGCAAACAAGGAGGAGGCTTATACTTAACATCAGGAAGAGGTAGCTGAAGTTTCTGGGACACGTAATGAGGAAGGAAGGCCTGGAAAATCTGATACTCATGGGTCAAATAGAGGGAAAGAGAGACAAGAGAAAACAACACATGACATGCCCTGCAGATTTAAGTGTATGACAGAATGTGGTCTGGGGGAGGTTGCAGAAGGAAGGAACTTGTTGAGGGCTGCAAGGGATAGAGGGAGGTGGAGAGCCATGATCACCTATGTCCTAAAAGGACACAACACAAAAAAAGAAATGATTTATTTGTGGCTACAGATAAGATCTCGGTAGAACTGATATGGTGAAAATGAGAATTGATACTGGTAACCACCATCCAGTTAAGAAGAACATGTATCATACTCCTTTGATCAAGTAAATAAAGCCATTGATGAAATATTAGCTGCTAAAGTGATAGAAAAATCCTAAAGCTCCTTGTCTTTTCCCATTGTTTCAGCCCAGAAAAGGATAGAACAATATATTTTTACATTGACTATTGTTCATTAAATAAGATAACTCAGAGTAATACTGTAGAAAAAAAAATGGAGATGGGAGGGGGTTCAAAAAGTGCAGTGCGGTGCTCGCTGGCAGGCCAGCCATTTTTTTCTTCTTGGTCGCTTCAAAGAAATGGATTGCATGGCTCTCTTTCTCAGCTGTTACACTAGGCAGTTGTGAAACAGACACCAGCTCAGCTTTGACTTCATCTTTGTCCGTCTGTCAATCTGTATGTCCAACCCTGTTGCATGCTGTCTGCTGAATTACTTACCTCTTCTTGTACTGCTGGCACCTTGCTTTTTATGCTATTCCAAGATGGCCAAAATTTGAATGTGTGCAAATATCATCTCGTTTTGGATGAGATAGGTGCACTTCAATAGCGTCTTCAATAGCGGCCATATTTCTTTTTATCATCACTTTGCAGGCAAGACATGTTCGCACTCATTTCGAATTCTGAGGTAAGTTATGTCTTTCATCACAAATGCTACCAGTTATTGATGATATATTAAGAGCTTTAGGTAGCACTAAGTATTTTTTGAAATTAGATTTGAAGTCTGGTTATTGGCAAGTGAAAATAGATGAATGAGATATGGAGAAAACAGCTTTTTGTTCCCATAGGTGATTTTTTCATTTTAATTGCATTCCTTTTGGACTAACAAACAGGCCAAGTATTTTCCAAGAATTAATGTCTGTTGTTTTAGATGGAATGGAAAAGTATTCAGTCACTTATATTGATGATATCTTAATATTCTCTGTGAGAAAAAAAGCCTCATTTAACATTAAGCTAGCAAAATGTGAATTTTTCATGAAGGAAATACATTACTTAGGCTTTACTGTAAGTAGGAAAGGCATTAACCGTGATAAGGATAAAGTAACAGCAATAAAATCATTAGTTGTCCACAAAACAACGAAACAAGTGTGTAGTTTTATCAACATGTGTTCATATTATAGGTGCATTGTCACGAAATTTTCTGCTCTGATAGACCCACTAATTGAGTTAACTCAAAAGAATGCCATATTGTGGATAATTGTCAGTGAGCACTTGATCTTTTAAAAGATAAAATTACTTCAGTGTCTATGCCCACTTAACTGAATAAACCAAATAATATCTTTACAGATGCTTCAAATTTAGTTATTGGTGCATACTTGATGCAGACACAGTTTGACAAGGTAGGAGGGAATGACATAAAAAAGCCTCTTCATTTTCTCTCTCACTGATTAAGTGATACTGTCGGGATATTATTATTGTTACAAATAAATGAAATAATAATAA